GGTCCCTACTGACTGTGTCCAGCATCAGCTCCGCTTCAACTGGTGACACATGGGCAGATAGAAGTGTATCAGTAAGCAGATGTGACAGACAGATGCCCCTCCCCCTTGTGTTTGATAGAAAGTTAGACTCAGTGAATCAGTAGGGAGCTGAGATTGACACACCGCAGCAGATCACTGGATTCAGTAAAACAATGCTCTGGAGAGAGAGTGTTAAGACATAAAAAGTATTTAAGGTGATGCATTTTTTTTTAAAATTTCCTTTCTGAAATTTAAAAAGAGTTAGAAAGCACTGCAGTGTTTGAATTTAGCTGCCACAAAAGAAGAAGAAGCTTATGCATTGTTGAAGTGGGTTTGTGCCATTTTGGCTTCAACTTAGCAGATTTTGGGAGAATACAGCTAATAAACCTCAAACTCTAAAAACAGGCAGCAATGCAGAAAATTGCCACAAACAGCACCAAGGTTGACAGGCCCCCCTGTGTTAATTATCGTAATAGAGCTCCATTCAGCCACATCCATGTTCAATGTGCAAAATGGGCCATAAAGAAGACAAACAGCATTAGAGAGGTGCTTGGAGCTTGTTTATATGTGTGTTCTCCTCCGCACAGCTACATCAAGCACAGCATTGGTCAGCTTAATGATGCATGCAGGCAAAAGAGGGAGGCAGGGAGGACTGTGCTATTCCACAGTTACAAGCATGGAGAAAGTGAACAACCCCATAGGCAGAAAGTAAAATTGCACATGTTTGCGATGATTTCACTCACCTACCTTGTAAGACTGAACCATAGGCTTCTCTCCACCTGCGTAATACACCAGTGATAGTGTGAAGTGCAGTACATCAGTACACTGGAGCTCAGTGTTAAATTAAGTAAGTTGAAACTGAAGGCAATTTTTTTAATAACATGGGTATCCAAAACTTAACAAACAGGAGTGTCAATGAGATTGGAACAGACATGAAATCACTAAAAAGAATGGAAACTCCTTTTTAAATTTTTTTTTTTAATGGAGCTGAGGTAAAACCCATTTGCTTCCTTTCTAGACTGCCAGAAATACAATCAGTATATATTCCAAGACCTATGCCAACCCCACATCCTCTTTACACTCCCCCTCTCTGTGAAATACAATAAATACAGCATCCACTGTGTGCTTCTTAGATTTTTTTTTTTATCATTTTTTGCTCAAGGGCTTTCTGGTCTAACCTTATTCTTTCGCTTCAAAGACTCTCTTACCAAGACAGAATATTTGTAGCAGCGCTGCCAGAGTACACACACACACAAAGAAAAAACTAACAGTCTGGTGAGTCAGTGCACAGACCACAAGCCTTGTTTAGGATTTACATATGTGTAAATATTTATCATCAAATACGATGCTGAATTAAACTACTGCCATAGTTGTATTGTTTTAAGTTGGATGCCTTTTAGTGCAGTCCCTGTGTAGAAATGTTGGTGGTGCTGTTGAACTACAGCCTTTTTTAAGTCTTGCCTCATGATAAGATACCCAAAGACATTAGTGGCAGTGGAATCATTTAACTTGTTTAGAAAGAGTTTAAAAGAGAGGCAGAGTTTAAGAAACTAAAGTGGAATACGCGAACAGCCCTCAAACTTCAGAAATCAAAACAAATGTTTTTACACTGCATCAAAATTCAACTTCAACTGTAAATCTCTATCATTTGAACTGCAAGCGGAAACATAGTTGTATCAGTGGGGTTCAAATACTAAAAACTATTGCAGATTTATCTGGAAAAGCTTTGGACATCTACATAAATCAACCCAGAAAGTTTGTGCCTGCAATACGATGTTCGTTACTCGTTAGTCTTTCTAACTGAGGCGTTTCCTCTTGCTTCTCATAAACTGTAACTTGCAAACTTATAAAGCATTCAACGCCTCATTTACATGCAGAGATGTAAATGAGCGGGTATTTTCTCCTGCTGCCACCAGTGTGGTTAAAGTAGTTCGTTTCCTTACTAAATCTTTTCATTGCGCAGTATTTCTTCCCAAACTCATTAAAACAAAAAAAGAAGTGGGACACCACAGATGACAACGATCAGCTTTCCCTCCACTCTGTATGAAGCACTTTAGCCGAATTGAATTTGAAAACACCTGCGTAGCTCCGTTTCCTGTGGGAATCAAAACAAGCATCAAACGAGATTTGCACAAAGCTGAACCAACTCCTTCATCCAGCGCTGCAAGGCATTTTTTTAATGTCTTTAAACACTGGTGGGTTGTACCAGCACATTTCTCAAGGTTTCTATTATATTAAATAGCATCTTCTCATCTTTGTAGTGTTTGGAGAACAATTAAATAAGAGAATTTAGGTAAATCCACAGACTCAGTCTTCACTTTACTCTTAAATAATTCCACATTGAAAGTGCTTTTGTCAGCTCATTAAAATGAGAAAATAGAAGAATAAGAGAAAAGTCAGCATCAATAGCATTTTTTTTTATTTACTTTGTCTTCATCATTTAAATTTAGAACCATGCAACTGTAGGTCTGACTGTCAAAAGAACCATACATTTTAATAAAGATTTTTTTTACCCTAGTGTTCTTATGCAATGCCTTTAATCACTTACCATAAATATTACACAGACAGTTTGATTTATTAGCCCAAAAATGAAAAAATATGAAGGTTACAACTGGGATTAATATGAAATAATAAAGAGAATATATTTAAAAAAAAATGTGATTCAAATTAGTTATTTGTTGCCATTATTTATGCTACCAGTGAAGTCTGACAGAAATAAACACAATATAAATGCAGTGCAGGTAACACATTCAAATATCGTGTGCTGTGGCCGCTGCGCTGATGGTAGTAACATTACTTGTGCAAACTCTAAACGAACAAAAGCTGCCATCGTACTTTGAAATCAGAGTGACGGACGGACCAGCTGTGTCCCTGTCACTAGACAAAAATGTAAAAAAATTAAATAAAAAATGGACGTTGCTTCAGATGAAGGCTCAGACAAAAAGACAGTTCCTTTTTTTCCTGCCTTGTGTTTTCATGAGAGGAAATAAGATGCAAGAGAATGACGCAATTGACCGAAACGCGGATACAATCAAGGGAATTGGGCTGTACCCCTCATGCATATGTAAAAAGAAAGGTAGAGTAGCCTGTTGTCAGACTCCCCAGTTGTGAAAGAACAAACGTAAAGTAATAAGTAATCTTATTTCTGCTTTATTTTTTTGTCCTTTTGTACTCTGCCAACTAAAATACACTAAATACCACACAGAAAAATCACATATCAGTCTGTCTCACTTCCTACTGGAATTCATGGACACACTGAGCCTTCATTTGAAAAGCGCCTTGGGCCATCAGCTCACACCTACGGGCAAAATTTTTGGTTTTCCCTCTCATTTTGGTCATGCCCAAGAAGCCAAAGAGAGGTTTGTGGCTCGTATTAGCAGAGGGGAACACTGCTCGCTGCTTTCTTAAGCCAAGAAGAAATCTGCACCGCACTGAGGGACAATTTAGCACAATCTTTGTTAGATAAAGTCAAAAATCAACATTTAACACAGTGTGTTTGTGATGTTCAGACAGGAAGCAGCCTTGTGATTATCTTGTGCCATATATGCTGTTTCTCATCTCTTAAAAATTAGAATTTAAGGGATTCAGCTCAACTTGCAAAAAGTTATTGCTGTTGCTGCTGTGTTTGGAAAGAGCCCTGTAGTACTGCTGTGGATGATCACTGGACATGGAAAAAGGCCTTGAATCCCTGCATTATAAACGAAATAAGGAAAAGACTGACCAATGACAGCCAACATTTAAAGTCCCACCATAAGCAGCTGAAATGCAGCTTTGGAAGGCATCCACAGCAGCCTCAGAGGGCATCCTGGTGGAACATCCAAGCTGAAAATATGACTCTGGTGTAGCTGTGAGGGCGGGAGGTGGGTGTGAGTGTGCAGGACATTGATTGAAAGAGATGGTGAGCAGTGAAACAGCTGGGTAGAGCCTGGCAGATTTTTTTTCTTAATATTTTCACTGTATGAATGGTGCCTTCTATTTCAGAGATATACAAGGGAGTAAAATAGTCGTGGCTGTATATCTCCTCAGAGGATTGCACAGCAGGTTACACAGGCACTAGAACTGGAATTGATTTCCATTTTTTTTTTCTAATAAGAAAAGACTCAATTATACTATCAGGCTGCAGAGGGCTGGAAAAAACAGACCTCGAATCCCTGCATGTATTGATGAGCGAGTCCAAGAGCTGGAAAGTCTGCTCTGTTCATGTTTCTCGTGTGTTTGTATTCTATACTTAAATAATTCAGTCCACACAGGACAGAACATTCTGATGTAGGAGTGTGCATTCTCAAATATACATAAGAACAGATGTACAGCTTGGATTCCCAAGGTTTCTTTCTGAGGCATTTGCTATGGCTCCGGATCTGTGATGTGAAGTTTTTCTTTCTTCTATCAGGGGTAAAGCACTGGACCATTATTTTTGCATAAATACAGCATCTTTAGGCTCCTAACAATACTAAAA